CCCGGCCGAGCCACGGCTCGAAGCTTCTGTCCCCTACCCGCGGCGAGCCCGACCCTTCCGTAGGGGCGCCATGAGCGCGACGGACTGCTCTGCGGGGACCTCCCCTCGCTCCAGAAGGTAGTGTGGGGGCTGCCTCCGCAGTCACCCCGCGCCGAAACTGCTCTGCGGGCTCTAGCCCCGGAGCTCTTCCCTTTCTGTCCGGTAGCCAGGCTTAACGTAAGGCACCGTTTTGTCCGCTCTTGTCCCTGCTGCGCTTCCTTATCCTTACGCCTTTCCATTTCTACTGTTCTTTAGTTCAGTAATAAAGTATTCACCTTGTGCCTATGTTACCTGTTTTCTTCTGTTGCTGTTATTTATTTTTCCAAGTGTGTTGTTTAAGGCGTTTCTGGGCACAGCTGTGGGAAAGTTCCTACATGAAATAATCATATTATTACATATTAATACTTTCCTACAGTGCCAGGAGTTAAGGAGCTTGGCACGTCTTCATGGCTGTAGCACGTTGGGGTTCTGATCTAAGCAGCTTTGGTGAGCTGGTCCATAAAGGTCACCGCTGCCTCAGTGTCACCTGCCAGATCACTTTATGATCAAAGTTCTGGCACCGTCACTGGAATCAGATTCTGGACCGTGTTTTTGTTAAGCAGATCTTTAGTAAAGAGGCTTCTTAGCTTTAATTCTGTTACTCATGGTATCAATAAAAAAAAGTGTTTGTCAGGTCAACATAAATAATGAAAAGAACACTTTCCAAGAGAATTTTGAACTCTATGTGCAGCTCTATTTGCAAATTTGGTGCTTGTTTGAGCAGATTAAATGTTTGAATGCAGTAAACATCGTTTGAAAGAAAAATCAGATATGTGATTACACATACATATTCTTGATTTGATTTATGTAATATTGACATGTTTTCCATCTAGTACGTCAAGATTCAAGAACTTGGAAGCTTCTGTTTCACTGTCAAGGGTGGACAAGCTATGTGAGCCAGAACATCAAGTACACCAGAAAGGAAAGCGTGTAGATTCCTAGACTTACACCTTAAATTTTGGTGGCTGGTGCATCAGCTAACCTGAATTATTGTCTTTATTCAACAGTCTTTCTTTGGAAAGGGTTTTTCTCTCTGGATATCAGATAGTGATTCTGTCACAGATTATGTCTTCCTGTTTATCTTACAGTGGCTGCTGCTTCTAATTGCACGACAACGGACTTTTTCTCCCCTTTGTTGTCTCCTCCTTTTCTTTCCTCCTCTTCCTTTCGCGTTCGCCCTCCCCAAATAACCTATGAGACTTTCCTTCCATAACATTCTTCTTTCTCCATTTTCCATCAGTTGGCCCATCTCCACAGCATAGTAAGCCTGTGAGCTGTTCTATACCAAAGCTTTTGGTTCTCCTAAATGCTGTGCTCTCCTGTTAATACCCGGGGCACAGACAAGCTAATCTGTGTTTGAAATTGAACCTGTGTTAAAATTGAAAATCTATTTTTAACTATTTTAGAAAGCTTTTTTTATTTTATTGTCTGAAGCTTACATGTCATTAGAAACTGTTTCTGTCCAGGCTGGCAACCCCCCGTGTCTCATCCAGATATGCTAGTTCTCAGTCTCCGAGTCAGGAGGACTTTACTCCTCTCCCTTCAATCAGTGAGCGCTTGGCCTTTCTCCGTCCCTCCCGGGAGCTGCTGGAATACTACCGCAAGAAGGTCGCTGACTTTGACGAGGAACATGAGGATTTGGTAAAAAGGCTGGAGAGATACAAAGAAACGTATGATGAGCAGGTTAGGAAAAGAGTTTTTGAATGATGATGGACTATGTATCCTTACACAAACTTAATATTTTTCTTCAGTTTAAAACTCAGCACAGATGGTCTTATCTTACCAGTAATGTGGCCGAACTGAGCTAAGAAGAAATAAGAAGGTGTCAGGGTTTGATTGTAAAATCTAGCTGTCTGTCTTCTATCAAAGCAAACAGAAACATGCCTGTAGGATATTCTTCTATTCTTAAGTTATTACAGTTTGGTTATATCTTCACAGTGGATTGTTTGTTTCTGTTTCTTTAGAATCAAAGCCTGAGTTTAGATGTTCAGTTTCCATGTTGTCCAAGTTCTTTCCCTTGTTTCTCATAGTGAAGAATGAGTGGTCTTTTGTCCAAATTTAATGGGCTTTCAGATACAGATATAATTTGTATTTACGGCAATGGAATTTGTAAGCTTGGCCATAGGCTATTAAGCAGTATACTACACAGCAAATAAATGCGACTTTAAGAGAAACTCCAAAACCTAAAAATCTTTGCCTTTTAAGGGGAAGAAATCTTACGGAATATCTGTAAGATATTCAGTGCTCTGATATGCCTTACAGCATACATCTGTCTAGCAGTCATCTTTGTAATTGTGAATGACCCTTTGGGAACAGAATGATCACTTCCGAGGTGATCGAGGCCATGCTTGAAGCAGCCTAGAAGCCCTCGGGGAAATATGTGGCATACAAGTTACTTTCATTCAACATATGGGAAAAAGAGGGGCAGGTTCCAAAATAGTGCCTTCTCTCCTACGAGAATGGTTTTCTGAAAGGTTTGTTAATTTTCCACACCAGGTAGAAAATCATTAGTGAAACTTAGTAACTAGCCAGATTTCTCACTACTAAACCATATGGATATTTTAATGTTTATTCTTCAGTAATTTCTTTTAAGAGTAAGTGTTATTACAGAGGCTTCGCTAGGTTTTTGTTGATGTCGGACTCCCCGTAGCTGTGCCACTCTGACCGCCAGTGCAGAAGTGCAACCACTGGAAACTGGAGACCCTAGCTTGGGCCTTATTTGACTGTTGTATAGTGACAATGATTCTCAGGGCTCTGAACTCCCCATTGAAACATTTTATTTTTTATCATTTTTCCAATACTGCCCTCATCTGGTCAAATTCTGTAAGAGAATAAAATAATTCACTTGAACTGGCAGTTGTTCTATACCAGTTACAGGCTCAGGGCACAAGCAGTGTGGAGTTTGTAAGTGTTGCCCAATGCTCTCTATCATTTCAAGTACCTCATTCTCTCTACCTAGCACAAATTGCAATGGGAAGTACGTCAGCGAGAAGAGGAGATTGCGGAGTTGCAAAAGGCTTTGAGTGATATGCAAGTCTACCTCTTCCAGGAGAGGGAACACGTCCTTCGTCTTTACTCAGAGAATGACCGGCTGAAAATCAGGTGTGCTGTCTTAGATGGTGGGCTGGGTCACTGGCAGTAGCAATTCCATGCATTATGTTCTAGTTCTTATCCAGATCTGGAGTCTTCAGAGAAGCAATTATGCCACATTTCCCAGGGAGGTCTCCTATGAAATCGTACCTATCTTGGAGGTGGGATGCAATCTGTTGGGCTGCTAAATATGTTTCCACTTATTATTCCTCCTATTCCAATAGTAGAAGGAAGAGCAGAAGTTGAACATAGATTCAGATTTGAATTGTGAGTTGCCCGTTTGAATGTAGAGGTTCTGATTTAAGCAGACTGGTGAGTTGACCTTGGCTGGATGCCAGATGCCCACCAAGCTGCTCTATCGCTCCCCTCCTCAGCTGGACAGGGGGAGAAAAAATATGATGAAAGGCTCAAGGGTCGAGATAAGGACAGGGAGATCACTCAGCAATTACCTTCACGAGGAAACCAGACTCCACTTGGGGAAATTAATTTATTACCAATCAAATCAGAGTAGGGTAATGAGAAATAAGAACAGATCTAAAAAAAATCCACCTGCCCCCCACCCCTCCTTCTTCCCGGACTCAACTTCACTCCTCA